GCTGGGAAGGGGATCTCTCCCTCTCTCCCCCACTGTGGCAGCCCCTGAGCTGGGGCTGGGAAGGAGGAGGGTCTCTCCCCCCACCACAGCAACCACAGAGTTGAGGCTGGGGAGGAGGGCTGTTTCTCCCCGGCAGCCGCAACCCTGGAGCTGGGGAAAGTCACCTCTTTCTCTGGCCGCCGCAGCCCTGCATATCCCAAATTCCCTCCACCCCCTCTTCTCACCCCACTGCCCCCTCCCACCTATCCCCTATTCCCCCAAGGCACCTTACATGTGCGTCTTCTGCAGGGTCCAGGCACCTAATTAGTGGAGCCACGCCTGCACGTCTCCACTAATTAGGTGGGTGGCCCTTCATTCTCTCGTAAGGCTGCCCAGGTGCACACTTTAGAGGGAACTATCCGCGGACCACCTGAATGTAGCTCAGACCACAGTTTGATTACCTCTGATCTACATTTTACATATCTCTTAAGGTATTTCCCGTACAAGTATCTCACAATAACCATGACAATCAACTAGTTCTTAGCTTTTGGCAGAAAATACACATGACCCCTTTGGTTAAATATTGAGAAGATGGTTGGATGCAGGGAAAATATAGCTGCCTGGATACGTCTGTGTCACAGTCCTTAGCTGCCACTTGAAGGTGCTCATCATGTCACACTATTGGGGTCCTAATAAAAAGCAGATGGAACCATTGACTTGTATCATCGTCTCTGCATGTCTTCTCCATCCTGCGCGTGCTGGATGTGAGGTTGTTCTATCAAATGGTGTGGGGGCATTTTGTGTTTACACTCAATGAATTTTGTTAAAGATAGATAATTATCAGCCCTTCAGGTATTCTGATAATCGTGAACTATAAAGGCCTGCTTCTCTATTTCACATGCCACTTTCTTCAGAGAGTTTGGTATAAAAGAAACAGCACATCAGCATGAGAACATTCTTACGGTTCCATATATCTGACATAGATGCTTCCCATTTTTTTACAACTAACTTGTGAGCAGTTGCATCCCTGAAAGAATGGACTGAATGCGACATGCATTCTCTTACCGGGGGTGGGGGAAAGGGAGGAGGGCAAGGCAGATAAGAGGGTGGTGATCCCTGCAGAAAAAGAGGAACTGAAACCGTATATTCCACTCCAGCTGTTTGATATTTTATTTATATCAACAACAGTTTAACCTTTTCATTCTTGGACCATTTTGTAGGTGAAGGATCTCCTGGGTGTATCACTGTTGAGGTGTGGTCCATTGACGTTGCTTTGAAAAATGCTGATTTACATGATAAATATCTTTCAATATTGGTGTCTTTGTAACTTTTTCTTTGACGTGTTAAAATATTGAAAAAAGGGAACGTGTTGGGGTGTTTTGCTTGTTTACAGGACGCTGTCCATTCTTTGGATATTAGATAGAGAACAGCAGCTGTTTTGTGAGAGGGATGGTTTGAGTTGTTGTCAGACTTGGGATTGGTATAGCTGATTATGTCTGGGTGTGCAGCATGAAGAAGGAAATGCTTGACAAAGTTTTTTTTTTTTTTTTTTTTTAATTTGTAATATGAAACTAACCCAATGTAATTGGGTCAGATATTAAATTACATGTGGTTCAGTGGGTCAATTTTATTGGAGTAAAGAAAATAGTTCAGATTATAGTATACTATAGTAATAGTTCAGAGAATGGCTCTCTTCAGTTCTTTCAAGTAATCTGATTGAAATCGTGGTAGTAGAGAATGCATGATCCTGTATGTTTGATATACAGGTTTTATTATCATGAATTCAAGGTGTTCCACATAAGTTGTAATGCAATCTTTAGAGCACTCCTTATAACCATGCATTCTGTATAGGCCACATATGCTAAAGAAACACTACTTTAGAAATGTTTTAGAGCAGGAGTTCTCAAACTTCTTTGCACCGTGATCCCCTTCTGACAACAAAAAATTACTACACGACCCCAGGAGGAGGGACTGAAGCCCCTCCACCCAGGTGCGGGGGCCAAAGCCAGAGCCTCACCACCCAGGGCTTCAGCTTCGGCTTTGGGCCTAGGCTGTGGGGCTCAGGCTTTGGCTTTGTGCCTGGGCGGTGGGGCTCAGACTTCAGTCCTAGGCACCAGCAAGTCTAATCCCAGCACCGTGAACCCTATTACAATGGGGTCGCAACCCACTTTGGGGTCCTGACCCACAGTCTGAGAACTGCTGTTTTAGAGAGATTAAAAACATTTTAATGGGACTGCTTTTCATCTCCCTCCTCTCCTAAGCCAGGTGAATGGGCATCACAACAGTGGATGACATCAGAGTTAACAAATGCAAGGTGCTGTCCAAAGTCGTCTTCTGGGTAAAGAGGGGAAATCTAGCATGGCCACTCTTACAGAAGTGCTGTTTGAGAATGGGAGAAAGCAGGACCCTCTTTCATTTCCAGAATGTAATGCAGAGAAATTATTTTAAGTTCTACAGTAGTCAAGATAACCAGTTATTGACCTATCCTCAGGTACTTGAGAATAAAAATATTAGATCAAGCAAGTTATCCTGTAATTTATGACATTCCTTATTACCAAGTGGAGAGGAGCCTTGTGATGAAGTGTTCAGGAACTTATAGAACTTATATGGAACCAAAGTTCCCAGGAGCCTTTGAAACTCTCTCTTTCACCCTAAGTGCAATACTTTATGGCGAGGTGCAGTAATTGTGTCATGATGGAGAACAGATGCTGATCTTGTGGTTAAGGTACAGAACTGAGATCCAACCCCAGATTCTCTTCCTGCGTCCGCCAGAGATTTCCTGTGTGATGTGAGCAAGTTGTTAACTGCTCTGTGCCTCTGTTTTTAATCTGTAAAATGGGGATACTACTGTTTCCCTAGCTTCCCAGGGTTCTGTGTGGTTAAATAAATGCATGTTTATAAACTGAGTTGAGATCCTTGGATGGAAGAAGATGTGCAAGTGCAACATATTGTTTTCAGTGTTTTCTTCCAATAGTAATATCACTGTTTATGGACATATTGTACTTTAAAAAGTCCTTGTGTATAGTATATAGTGAAGGCTAGAATTACCACAAAGTCTATGATATCTTTTGCCAGCAGAGGATCCTATGGCAGTAATAAGTGATTACACTTTTCCTTATGCCAGGGGTGGAGAGCTGAGGGGATCAATGCAGTCCGTGAGGTAGGCAGTGTTGGCTGAGAAGAGGCTGCTGGGGCACTGATTCAGCACTTCTGCACAGCATTCCCTTTGAGCTTGCAATGGTAGCCACAGCTGCTTCTTCCTGTCAGGAACTCTGTGAGAAAGACTCATCATGTTTTCTGAGATGCAGTGGTCCTTGCTGGTACATGGAGGTGTAATTTCCATCTCCTTTCAGCTGGTGAATCTGATCCCTCTGTGTGTATATACTGTACATCAGTTGTCTCCAACCTTTTTATGCGCAAGATCACTTTTTGAATTTAAGTGCAACCCAGGATCTACCCCGCCCCTTCCCCGAGGTCCCACCCCACTCACTCCATCCCTCCATTGCTTGCTCTCCCCCACCCTCACTCACTATCACTGGGCTGGGACAGGGGGTTGAAGTGCAGGAGGGGGTGTGGGCTCTGGGCTGGGACTGAGGGGTGTGGAGTGTGGGAGGGGGCTCCAGGCTGTGGCAGAGTGTTGGGGTGCAGGAGGGGGCATGGGGTGCTGGCTCCGGGAGGGGGCTCAGGGCTGGGGGTTGGAGTGCAGGAGGAGTGCAGGCTCCCGCCGGGTGGCACTTACCTCGGGTGGCTTCTGGTCGGTGGCACAGAGAGGCTAAGGCAGGCTCCCTGCCTGCCTCAGCCCCATGCCGCTCCCGGAAGTGGCCATCACGCCCCTGAGGCCCCTGGGGTGGGAGCACATGGCTGCGTGTGCTGCCCCTTTCTGCAGGCAATGCCCCTGAAGCTCCCATTAGCTGCGGTTCCCCATTCCTGCCTGTTCCTGAGGGGGCGGTGCTTGCAGGCACGAGCAGCGTGCGGAGACCCCTGCCCCTCTCCTCCCCCAGGGGCCTCGGGCATTCTGGCTACTTCCAGGAGCGGCACGGGGCCAAGGCAGGCAGGGAGCCTGTCTTAGCCCCGCTGTGCCACCGGGCTTTTAGCGGCTGGAGATCGCGATTGACTGTCAGAGGCTCCAGGATTGACCAGTCGATCACGATCTACCAGTTGGTGACCACTGCTGTACATGTAGCTGTGCACTCTGTTTCAGTATCTATCCTCACACTTTCTGTACAACTATTCTCACTCCCTTTGCTCTGTTCTGGGATGTCCTTAAGCTAGCATTTTTTAACCTTGTGCTGTCAAGTGGTATCTGTTGTTGAATAAGATGGGCTGGTCAAACTCACCCCACCCCTCATTTTCATGAAGAATGGACACAATATACTTCCAGACTGTATGCTGTAATTCCAGTGACATGACTACTGTATATTTGTTGCACTCACTCTCTTCTGTGCACATTACAGCAGGCTTATCTATAGGCAACAGAGCAAATGAACTGTCGCATAACAGCAGGAAGTTGTGATTATTTGCATAAAATAAAGGAGAAGCATTTTCAAATACAGTATTATGAATGTAAAACCCAGTGAACCATTACACATACAAATTTCTGTTTCCATTTCCTTTAAAATCAGATATTTAAAATTGATTGAAGTGTGTGTGTATGTGTGTGTGTAAATTTAGAGAGATGGAAGTGGAGGGTGGTGTGGTTGTGGTGGAAGTGATTGATCTGTGACAGCAGTTTCCTTGATAGTCATAAGGGGAATTTTTTTTTTCTTGGTCACACTGAGTTTGAACACTCATGAAACAAACTGAATCATTTCAAGTTTAAAATAACAGACAAAATGGCAAGAGGAGGGGAGGACTGTGTTTTTTAAAACAATGTTAAGACAGTTTCCTTTAGTGCTGACTTCTTAAAGTGGAATGTGATGCAGATTAGTTCTCATATGTAAGCCAACATTTGTTTTAACAATTTTTATTGTCTTCTTTCTCTCTTCCCCTCTCTCCCTCCTTCCTTCTCCTCTGCTCTGCAGATTTACACTGACTGGGCTAACCACTACCTAGCAAAATCTGGCCACAAGCGGCTGATCAAGGATTTGCAACAGGACATTGCAGATGGAGTTCTGCTAGCAGAAATCATCCAGATCATTGGTAAGACCTGTGCTCAGAGAAGCAGCATGAGCTGACTCCTTGCATAGGGGGAAGGGGGGGGGGGGAATGGGAGAGAATATATAACTTAAGTTGGATGTCTTTAACAATGAGATTAATCCAAATAATATATCTTGACTCAGTCCATATATCTCTGAAATGTATGTGTTTTTTCCTTGTCTTAATTAATGTATGTGTGTGTGTGTGTTTATGTGAGGATGTTTGGAAGTGGCTGTTTAACTATACTTTAAATGGCCAAACTGTTTCTTACACACTTTGAATTGTCAGAAATGAATGCTGCATTAGAGCATATGTCTCCCATGTGTGCATTTTGTTAATTGGCGTGGCTCATACTTTTTGGGATGCCTTGAAACTATATCCTGACCCTGCAAAGACAATTTTGGAAGACTTCATGTCAGCAGTCATTTGGCAGGGGCTGAAGAATTAGCAGCAACCTCCTTCGCACTTCCCTTTTGCATGATTTGTGCATGTGGAAGAAACTGCTGCTAACAAGAGTGTTGTTACTGTAGGGCTGTACTGTACTGGGAAGGGAGCTCTGTGTCAACAAACCCCTGCACACTTTATTGCTTTGCCTTTTCTATTCTTCTTCTGTTGTTTTTCCCCCCTGGTTTATTCTTGTGGGGTTTTTTTCACTTTATTGTTTTTCTTTAGCCAATGAAAAGGTTGAAGATATCAATGGCTGTCCCAGGAGCCAATCTCAAATGGTAAGAATAACATAAATTCTTAGTAAATATTAGAATCTCTTCTCTTTGTTAAGATGCTTTTTAATGCTTATTTATTTTGTTTAACTGTGGAATACTCAAACCCATGTTTACTATAAACTACTAATTCTCTTTTAATCTTCCTGATACCTTTATGCATATGTTTGGGGTTTGTCAATTCACTTTGGTACAAACTAGCTCAGGGTCTTGAGTTAGCTGAGCAACAAAATTTCTTGAGTCACAACAGTTCACTATGTTAACTGGAACAAACCTGCTCTTCTCCTGAATATCCAGATAATTTCATTTAACTTCAGTTTTAAAGGCAATAAACCCCACAATAAATTTTAAGGGGAGCCTTTGTGTCTGGACAGCTGGTTTTAAATACAGGCCTTGCCAACTTATTTTTGAATATAAATAGCCTTTTGGCTTGTCCACTCTGAAGTCCATTTAAATGCACTGACTCTAATATTTTCAGAAATAGCACGTTGGGCATATAGCTCTCTGACCTATAACTGGCAGCCAGCTAAAGACAGTTTAATACTCTCAGACAACTAGCCTTAATTGACTATGATTCAGATGGAGGCTTATTAATTTTTTGTTGTCTTGATTGGTTAGTAAACTCCAGGCTTAATACAAGAAAACTTCATTAGCAGGTTGTGGAAATGACAGGTACAAAATCTGATTTTCAGCTACGTCACCTCTCATCTACAGCAATCATTTGATATCAGCACTGCGCTGTCTTTGAACTGCTCCACTAGCCCAATTCCAAGAGTTGTAGCTGCTTATTCACATTCAAATAATGTGTGAATAGTTTACCCATATTCACTGCTGGTAAGGCTTTGGGAGTGAGAAGATTTGGATATGTCTTTTGGTGAGGTTGCATATTAGCAGACTACTGGAATTAGACAAGAAAGTGGAAATTGGAGATTATCAAGAGTGTTTACATTTAGTCACCTTTTTTTAGGCAAGTTTTTTTCTGTAAACTGGAAAAAGAATAAGGAGAGATTTTTAGGTAAAATGAAACTAAGTAATTACGTGGTTGTTTTTAAAACTTCGACAGAAACCAAAATCATTAAAATGGACAGTATCGTTTAGTGTTATCTCTGCTTTCTAACTTCTTATAACACACACACACACACACACAGTTATTATTATTCATTGCTTGTATTACAGCAAAAAGTAGAAGTACCAGCTGAGACTGGAGCCCCATTGTGCTAGGCACTATGCACATGAGTAGTAAAAGTCAATCACTGTCCTGTATCAGAGGGGTAGCCGTGTTAGTCTGAATCTGTAAAAAGCAACAGAGGGTCCTGTGGCACCTTTAAGACTAACAGAAGTATTGGGAGCATAAGCTTTCGTGGGTAAGAACCTCACTTCTTCAGATGCAAGGCGTCTGTTAGTCTTAAAGGTGCCACAGGACCCTCAATCACTGTCCTGACGCGCCAAGACACATGTTAAGGGCAGGAGGAAAAACAAAAGTGTGGAGAAGTAAAGACTTGCCTAAGGCCACACAGGGGCTGGGAATTGAACTCAGTGTGCTAGGCCATGCTGCCGCCCTTGTTAGCGTTTTAATAGCATTTTAGATCTGTACATCTTAAAGCAGCGTGCCAGGGTTGGGAGGCATCATTTTCTCCAGCTTTGCAGATGGGAAAATGGAGGTAGTGAGATGTTAAGAGGTTTGCCTAATGGAATACAGTCATTGGAGAGCTGGTAATAGCACCCAAGTCTCCTGAGTACTTGGAGCTTGTACTGTGCCCTAGCTACTGAATCTCACTGCTTCCTTTTCAATAGCTGTTTGCCATATGCTTGCTTTCCTGGCATCATTTTGCTGTTTCTTTTGCTTCATATGATGATCACTGTTTGTCTTTGCTTTCTCACCTCCTACACCCCAGCACAACTTGTAACTCTTCCACCGGGGTAGCTCTCTGCTTTTCTCCTTAATTTGTTTCATATTGCTAGATTCATAGATTTCCAGGCCAGAAGGAACCATTGTGATCATCTAGTCTGAGCTCCTGTATAACACAGGCCCATAGAACTCCCCCAAAATATGCTAAGATCGCATTCTCTTTCTACCCCATTTTCAATAAAAGTGCCCCAGGAAAAAGTGTTCTTATTGAAAATGTAACAACTTAAATTTTTTAACAATTTTTCCATACAGTAAAAATTAAGTACGTAAATGCTGTGCATGGATCTACTGTGGCTGCTTTGTGCTTCTTTGGCACCACAAAGTAGCTAGAAACCTAGTAGTTCTGGGCCACTTAATGTTGCTCCTGTGTAGAGGGAATCTTTGTGTGTTGTAGTGGCCCATTGTCTCATCCGACTCCTGCTTGAAGTCATAAGGTCATGGGCAGGACATACTTATGCCTCAGGACTTCACAGTGCTGGAAAAGTCCATTGGGGACATTGGCAGCCTTCAGGAATAAAGCTATCTTTGCCCCACCTCTAGCTTATGTGAAGAAAGAGGGCATTTACCTGGGTGTCCTACTGCTGAAAACATAACTTGTCCTGCCATGACCAAAAAACCACAGCAGGCAATGGATGTGGTTTAATTAGGCTGCAACTTGTATTCACATAAAATATCTGGGAGTACCTGGCAATAAATTGTAAAGCGCGGGTCATCATCCTTTCCTTAATCATTTGCACATAATCCCCAACGAGGTTCCAGCTATCCCGCTGCTGGGAACCTGACACTCTCTCCTTTTATGAGGTGAAAGGGAGCTGTAAAAGAAAGGGAGCATCAGCTGATGCTCCCCACTATTCCAGACATAGGAACCCCAAACCCTACTTCTTCAGCTCCCTTAACAGAGGCTAGGAAAAGGAGGGGAGTTGGCTCCCTGCTGTATGAGACAGAGGACCCCCAGCTCCCTTACTCAGCTCCCTTAAGGGATACTTTCCTTCAAATCCTTCATCAATCAATTCTATCTGATAACGATATCCCTTCCGTAGTGAGTGCCCGCACTGGACATCTGCCACAAGTTTTACATACTAAGTTGTGACATTATAAACTTAACCCCACTGCTCCATCCCAACAGGTCCCAGACTCACCATGGGGAAGGCAAAAAACCCCACCCCACCTCGACCAATCTGGAAGTGAGGGAAAAATTTCTTCCCAGCCCCCAAAGAAAAGTGCAACTAGCAAAATGCTTGCAGTGGATCATGAGGAAACCTGGTCCTTTTGCCAAGTTTGTGGGTGGTGTCAGCCCAATCCCAGTTAAAAAGGGCTTCTCCAGGGGTATAAATACCACCCCACCTCTTGTCAGCATGAAGGGCAGCACAGTGCCTTTCTCCAGACCTGGCCCCTAACAGCTTCCAGATCTTCCTGTCTGTCCCTGTAAACTTTTCCCCAACCCCCCCCACCCCATTGTAGGGGGAATCTCTTAAAGGGGCCATGTCCCTTTTATTCCAGACAGGTGGGCAAAGCCCACTGGATGGAAAGCTGCTGTGAACACATTCTCTCCCTCTATATATATATTCCAGTCATGTTACCAGCACTGATTCATAATTAAACAACAACAAACAAAATACCTTCTTAGTGTTCTCTCTGACTCTTGTCTGTTTTGGAGATGATTTTTGGAGATGAGACACTTTAGTTGGCAATTCATCCATAATTCTAGTTCCTAAAAATCTAGTTTTTAATTATTTCCTTGCAGTGATCTACCCAAGTACTTCCTTTTCAATGTCTACAGTTCATGCTCACATTGGCAATGTGCACATAGTAAGCTTGTGGCCAGTGGGGCACCCCTAAATCTTTCAATTCTTCTACCTGAACAATGGCACTAAATTTTATCAGACTTTGATGGTGCCTTCAAAACAGTCACTAATATCATTGAAGGCTTCTTCTCAAAAGTCCCAGGAACACATTCACATTGAGGGTGAAAAATGTTTATTGCTGAATACACAAAATTTGCTGGGAGAAACAAAGAACACTAATCCAAACCACAAAGCCACTAAAAGCTTTCTAGAAAAGCAGGGCCGTCATTCCAGAGTCACATACACAAGGATCACCACAAACTTCAGGGCTCACAGACTCAGTTGTCACATGCTGTCAATTGACAAGTGGGAACTAAACTAGGACATCTTTGTTCAGCCATCTACCAGGAGTTTTTCTCTTGTGTCTAGATTTATTTACCAGATTTAGAACAATAGGAGAGTACCAGAATTTTGCACTTAAGAATGGGACCTGCCCTTCTTCTTCCTTGAATAAACAGTATGGTATGCCTATCCCTGTCCAAAAGAGGGAGTAGTCTTTTTCTCAAATTAGGAACATTGGGTTTGGTTTTAGAGTGCTGGTGAATCTCTGCTATGGGAGACCTGATGGCTAGACATTGCAAAGTAATGTATATCTAATCAGGCAGAATTGCTCCACCAAGCCAGTCGATACTTTTTGCCAATTTGGCCAAGAATCTGCACTTAGAATTGCTCTTTAGAAATCAATGTCTTCCCCTGTTCAAGTCTTTAAATCAAGAGTGGATGTATTTCTAAATTATATGTTCTAGATCCAACAGAAGCTATGGATTTGATTCAGGAATTACTAAGTGAAATTCTATGGCCAGGAAGTCAGACTAGTCCCTTTTTAACCTAAAAGTCTTTGAATGTATGAAAGGAGAAAGGAAGGGATGGGCGTGTGGAGCTTGGATTGCCTTCATTGTGGTGAATTTAGCAACTAAAACCCAGAGTTGTGTCCAAACCCAGTGATGCCCTCCACTGTGAGAAATAAAAATGATAGATGAGGAAGCTATTTTTTTTCTTTCTGGGGGAGAGGACTCAACAAATATTCTGTATTTTCCTCATAAAATTTACAGGCCAAATTCAACCTCCAAATTGTATAGCTTCTGCCCCTGCCCAGTGAAGGAAAACAGAATCTGCACAGAGAGGAATGGATAGCATGACACCCGTATACTGTCATCCTGCATACACCTGTGTGAAATGCTGAGAAGCTGGGAACTTCTCTGTGTTTCAACCTTTGGTTTTGAGGAGTCGATACTAAAAATAGTATCATGGTT